CTGAGTTCTAACCCCACCGATGAACTGTGGTGGGGGTCATTGGGCAAGTATGAAGAATTATTGATTATTAAATTCAAAGCCAAATGCATTGCAGGCCCCACAAGAGAAAGGCTGGTCCAGTGGTTAGACCACCAGTCTAGGACTGGGGAGACCCGGGGACAAGTCCCTGCTCGGCCGTAAACTCCCTGTGTGACCTTGGGGGAGTCACTCAGTCTCTCTGTGCCTCAGTTTCCCCATCTGTACATTGGTGATAACAGTCCTGCCCTGCCTCACAGAGGGGTGGTGAGGATAAAGATTGTGAGGTGCTTCGATACCATGGTGATGGGTGCCTGGGATGGGGTGTGCATCCCACACCAGCCCTGACAGAGTTAGCAAGGGCCTTAGAAACCAGTTAGGTTACCCGGAGGCACCTCCAGGGGGAGGGTAAGTCCGGAGCTCCTGCCCTGGAGTACGGCATCTGGCCAGCGGCTACAAGGGGGGAAGTAGTAGCCATGGGGAGTGAAGAAGGCTCCAGTGGTGAACCCAGAAGCAGGAGAGAGAAGACAGGGAAGGAGCCCAAGGAAACAGGGATGGGGCTAAGGACCTGGATTGCTGGTTATAGAGTCCCTCGGCTGGAACCCATGTAGCGTGCAGGCTGGGGTACCCCTGCCAGCCACTGGTGCAGTGGCACAGAGCCAGAGGGGTTGAACACCGGCTGGCACCAGCATTTGGATAGGGATCCGGTCGGACTTTGTAACCCCAGAAGGGGTGGTCTAAGTGGGGGGCCACCCGGAGGGCGAAGTTACCAGCAGAAAGGCTATCACGGAGCAAGCACCAAGCAGCCAGGGGGCACCCGACATGGCCAGAGCGACACCCCCCAACCTAGACGTGCTGGTGGTGAGTGGCGATCCCATTCCAGTGCCACATAAGGACCGCAAGCAGATAGAACCCTGCCCGCTGCGCTAGGTGCTGTCCGAATCGGCTTGCTTTTCCGCAGGAGCTGAGCAACTCGAGAGACAAGACCTCATGACACCAGTGCACAGTGGTGTCAATCTGGATGGTGGCACTGGGCACCCGCTTGGCGCTGGCATAAAGCCCAACGTCTCTGCCCAGAGGATCTTACAGTCTAAGGTCACTTCTGACCTGGAAATCTCTCGTCCCACCCATTGTAGAGCCTGAGGCCAGAAGGGACCGCCGGATCATCTACCTGACCTCTTGTGTATCTCAGGCAACGAGCCCCACCCAGCACCTGCCCACAAAACCCCTCTCCAGCCGTGGCCAGCCCTGGGGCTTCAGAGGAAGGAGACAAAAAAAACCCCCAAACCAGAATACACTGAGGGGGAAACTATCCCTTCCTGACCCCTGCAGGCGACCAGCGGAAGCTCTGAAGCATGAGAATCTGCCTAACCCTAAATCTGGGGCAGATTCTTCCTCTCCCCTCTGCCTTTCTTACCGCGCGTCTATGGTATGGCTAAGGCAGGTCTGACCCTGCAATCGGATCAGCCACTGGGGATGGGCACCGGGGTCTGCGCAGCTCAGCACAGACCTGATCCAGACCACGTCCCTGGTAAGAGAGAGCAGGGTGGGGGGTGAATATTGGCCCCCGCGGCAGGAGCCATTTCCGTGCTGGGTGCTGCTTAAACTTTCCAGTAGGGGCGGGTCCCCATCCATCTCCCTCTATTGTTTTCCTCCCAGATGTAATTTACAAGCGATGAACATGAGCAGGGAATGTCAATTTTTAATGGGCGCTGAACACATGGGAAACCTTCCAAGGCGCTGGAGCAGCCAGCCATCGCTGGAGCATAGGAAGGGGAGGAGAAAGCGGAGCCAGCATTGGAAATGGTTGGCTCGAATCCTTCGGGTGGGTGGGATTCGACGGGGTTGCACACTCAGCCGGGGGGAGCTGTGTGGAAGTCGACGGCGCTCGGCCACTTTGCACCAGCTGGGGGTCTGGCCCACTCCTGCTATTTATACAAAGGACCACCTGGCGTTTCCAACCCTTGCCAAGCGAGCCAGAAACGCTGTCGCCTGCATCACCTCCCTCTGCCAAGAGCTTCTCCCGTGTCACTGCTCTGTGGTGGGCCTCTTCCCGTCCAAACCTGATTATGGAGGCAATTTTCATGGGATGACAAATGGGAGCGTCAGCCAAAGACTAAATCGACACTTGCCTCCTGCCGCTCTGGAGTGTGGGATGGGCAAGGAGCCCAGAGCGGGCTGGAATCAGACCCGCCAAGGGAAGCCAGCCCTTCTTCAGGAGTTGGGAAAGGGAAAGGGAAAGGTTACGGATCGGGGAAAGGTCACCTACGCTGGGGCGTTCGTTGAGCTGCTGCCCCAGGGCTCGGCAGGCCAGGGGAGAAGGGACGGGCGCTGGTGGGCAGACGGGGTCAGGAGAGGTTCTGGGTTTGGATCGGAGGTCCCAGCCTGAAGTGCTGGCTCAAGCGCGTTAAGTCAGTCCCGACACTGGGCGTGTTCAGGTTCAGATCTGGGCTTTGGCGCCCCCCAGGCTGAGGGTGCTAGGTTCTGCTTTGGCCCATTGCAGAGACACGGGATTAACAACCTCGCTGGGTTGAAGACGGAGCTTGTCAAGTGTACAAATGGGATTCCAGGATGGGGACGCCCAGGAGACCAGGGACCCAGACTCGATGACCCAGATGGGCCCGGCCAGGCCTGAGTTCCCAGCTTCCACCCGGACGGAGCTCTACTGCGAAGGGGGTGAGTTTGGATCCCGCTCTTGGTCTGGCCCCATCTCTCCGTCTGTGATGAAACAACTTGTTTGTTCTCTCTAATCTCTCGCAGGGCCCCCATCACCGCAGTATCTGGGCTCCTCACAATCGTTAATGGATTTATCCTCTCTTTGCCCCTCCCCCTGCTAGCTTCTTGGAGCCCAAGGAATGTGCCAGGCCCCTGCTCGGGGATGCCCAGGGAAGGGAAAGCCCCTTTGCCCCAGTGCTGGGTGAGGCCCTATCTAATGGCACTGTGCCTTGGGCGTGTCTGTGTCGGTGCAGACGGCAGCTGGGTGAGGTCCAGCCGGCTGGTCTCCGCGGGCAGCCGTCGCACAGCATGGCAAGGTTGCATCACCATGTGAGTGTTGTAGCCGGTTGGTGCTGCAGGGCCAGCCCGGCAGGTCTCCATTCCCCTGGTGCAGAGGGCCAGCCAGATGGCAGGGGCCCATGGAGAAGACCTGTGCTCTGGTGGCCCATCCTAGCTGGGGAGGAGGAGAAGCCCGGGGTGTGACACGTGCTCTGTGTAGGACCTTCCGGAGAGCAGGGAGGAGGAGCGGGCTGTTCCAGGCCACCCACGCTTAGCTCCTCAGGGCTGGAGAGAGAGCGGGGCTCAGGCAGAGGCTCCTCTGATACCAGGGCTGTGGGATCTGGCAGCTCTCTCTGCCCAAAATAAAACACTGCAAAAAAAGCCCAAAGGAAACCACCATGCCAATGACTGTGCTTAACTGGCACGAAGGCCAAACAAGAGATTCCCCGGGCAAGGCTGCTGCTGGCCCACGGCTCTGAGGGACTGTGGGTGGTCTTCGCTCGTCGCGAGAGGCGGGAACCCACCCTGCGACTTGGGGATTTCTTCAGGCCATGTTCTCCGGGATCTCTGCTCCCCGGTGGGCTGCAGGTCAAGGGAGCCACGCTGCTTTCCCACTGAAGCAGCCACAAGAGGATCGAGATGCCGGGCTCACTGGTGAGCGATGCCCTGCCGGGATGCTGGCGGGGTCTTGGACCACGAGCTCTGCGCTGAGAATCAGGGGATGGAGAGGGGGTTGGACGCCGGCTTGGTTTGGACGGGGGCTGCTCTAGTGCACGGGGCACTGGAGACCTGGGTTCTCCTCCTGGCCCTGCAAGGGTTGAGAGACAGCGAGGGAACGGACACAGCTAGACAGTGAGGGTAGGAGGCAAAGGGGAGCCCTTATGATATAAGGGGGCTCTGGGGTGAGACTGAATTCTGAGTGTTCGGGCGGTGGACTGGAGCTGGTCATGGTTATGAACTAGGGGTCACCCAATGAAATGAATAGGCAGCAGGTTTAAAACAAACAAAAGGAAGTATTTCTTCACACAACGCGCAGTCAACCTGTGGAACTCCTTGCTGGAGGATGTTGTGAAGGCCAAGACTATAACAGGGTTCAAAAAGAACTAAATAAATTCATGGAGGATAGGTCCATCAATGGCTATTAGCCAGGATGGGCAGGGATGATGTCCCTAGCCTCTGTTTGCCAGAAGCTGGGAATGGGCGACAGGGGATGGATCACTTGATGATTGCCTGTTCTGTTCATTCCCCCTGGGGCACCTGGCATTGGCCACTGTCGGAAGACAGGACACTGGGCTAGCTGGACCTTTGGTTTGACCCAGTCTGGCCGCTCTTATGTCTCTATGGCACGGGAGCTCTGCAGCATATACCAGGTCCCTGCAGCAGCAAGCCCCGTTACCTACGAGTGGCTCCTGGAGCAGTCGGGGGAACGCAGACACTGTCACAAATCTTGGGTTTTGCCACTGGCTGCCTACGGCCACACTCTGAACTTCACAGCAGCAGCGGGGACAGCACCCAGAGCCTTCTGCTCCCAAAGCCCAGGCCCTGCTGCCGTAGCGAAAGGGGAATTTCTGTTAGCACTAGAGGAGCTATGACACACAGCAAAGCAGGTTGGATTCCATCTGCTAGTGGTATCAGGGGTGCACATGCATACTTAACCCGAGCAGGCGAGTGGCTAGGGCACTGGTGTTAGGAGACCCGGGTTCTAGGCCAGCTCTGCCACTGATCCACTGCATGAGCTTGGGCAAGTCACTTCCCCTCTGTGCCTCAGTTTCCTCATGGGTAAAATGGGGGTGACTGTCCTCCCCCCCCACCTTTGTGACATGAGGATTTCAAGAGCTAAATATCATTATTATTACAATCCTCCAACCCCCCAGGTGACCAGGTGGGTTTCCCAGGCAGGGAAAGCCCATGTTACGCTGGTCTGCTCGTGTTTCCTGGGGAGGGGCAGGCAGGAAGGAAAAGGGAGTCAGGTCCCCCGAGGCTGCGCTTACCCAGGGACGCCAGCACCATCACGGCGATGATCAGCAAGACGCAGAAGACGTACAGCCCTTTGACGGAGGTCTGGAGCGACAGGTTCTTCTGGCATCGGCTGCAGTTGGTCCGTGTCCTGCCTGAACAGGGACAAAGGCGAGAAGGGAAGGTTGGACTTTTCCGGCACAAGGCCTGGAGTCCACCCTCCGGGGATGGGCAGGAAGGATGCAGCACCTCAGGACCAGGGGCATCCCTCAGACCCTGCCCTGCCACACACCGCCCTCCCGGTTGTGAGCTCTGGGGCAGCTACCCCTATTTACATCAGCCATCCGGTGGATCTCTTTAAGCAGAGGGTAGACTCGAGGAGGATCCCCCGGAAATCAACCCATTTTGTCCACCAGATCTAAGGGCATCTCCCTGGGTCCCCTTTGGTACTGACAGCAGAAAGGCCAGGCCGGGAGCCTGAGGTAACGGCAGAGCTGTAGAGAAAGGAAAAACGCAGCGTTTCTGCCTCCTCCTGGCTCTGTGTCCTTCGTTTGGAGATTCCCTCCCCACCATCCCTCTTCCAAAGGCTACGAACGAGGATCCTGCCCTGCCACCTGCAGTCACCCACTCGGGGATAACAGTTCCATGGGTTGGCACGGCCCAGGCTTTGGGGTAGGAGCCGTTGGCCCGCTCCAGCCGGGGCACAACCAATGCTGGGGGCAGACAGGGCACAGGGCTGCAGGCCAACGTCCTTTGAACGCAATGGAAAGGCTCCCACTGACTCTGGGGGGCCTAGGACTAGGCCTGGATGAATTTGCTCTGGCCATGACGAGGGCCGGGTTTGTACAGGTCTTGGGGCAGCTCAAGACGGAGCTGGGTGCCAAGGGGGATTTTTTAAAGCACCTTGAGGTGCCTAAAGACTTTTAAAAACCCAGCCAGACAGGGGCCAAGCCCACTTGTCAGAGCCCGCCCCGAGCTTCTCCTCAGTTGCCTCCTCTAGCCAAAGTGAGGCGAGATCGGGGTTCTCCATGGCTGCCCGAGGGCTCTGAACCCAGCTGGCTGGGCTCCCTTCTCCAGCGTGAGCATCAAGCCCGGAGCACAGGGCCAGGGGCAGTCCCTGCCCTTCCATTGGGTGATGGTACTGACAGATGCCTCAGGCTGGTGGGACTTTACAGGGACTCCCCCCGCCCCGACATATAGGCAGCAGCCCCCCTCTGTGACTGCCTAGCCCGGGCCAGGGCTTAGCCACTGCACAGGCTGTGAGAGTGAATCTGGGAGCTGGAGAACCCCAGGGTCCTTTCGCGTCCCGACTCCGGTCTCTACAACCTACTCCTGTCTCTGCTCTCCTACACCTGCCAGCCAGCAGAGGGGAAAGGCCACCATTCAGGGAACAAACCCTGCTCGGTCGCCTTCCTCAAGCCCTTCCCCAAGATAAGGCACTTCCTCCCTCCCCCAGTTATGGGCCCCTGGGCTCATTACAAGTTCTCCCCCGTACAGAGCTTCACAGCCTCGGGGCCTTGCCATGTGGAGCGAGCATCTAGGGAGCATCCCTGCATTGCCCATGGGGAATGGAGTGGGAGACACCTGATGGGTCTTCTCGTGCACTGAACTTCCCAGGCCGATCGGCGCCCTCACCGTCTGGTCTGTATCTGAAGGATGGCATGTCGTCGTCCTCTCCAATGAGGTCTTCTTCTGAAAGACAGGCAGATGCTTCAGAGCTTTCCCTGACTTTGCTCCACGGAATCACTAGCCGTGACGGCAGAGGGCCAGAAGAACCTGTCGCTCCAGGGGCCACCCATCCCCACCCTGCAAAGCTCCTTACTCCACAAGTAGCTCCAGTGGATAAGATGCTACTCGGGGTGAGTAGGGGCAGCAGAATCTGGCTGGCGGTGGAAGGTGCAAAGCTGGGTCCATGGTTACGATCTATTTTGGGCTTCTCCAATAAACTCCTTTGGGCTCAGACCCCTCAGGCTTCCACGCGGGCCAGGCGTTTTGGAAGGTGGGAAGATGCCCAGGCAGGGTGCTTTGGAAAACGCACCGTCCAAGCTCCGTTTTGTTTCTAAACGAGTGACGAACGTTCGCAGCAGCTGCAGTTGGCTACAGCGAGCTGCTGTCCGTTCAATGCACCACAGGTTTTCTTTCGGCTCAGCCATAGGGAAGGAGCGTGTCCCGTTCCCAGCATTGCTCCTCTGCCTGTAGACATTGCTGGGTCCTAAAGCCCTTCTGTCTGTTGGCAATCACCAAGGGCTAGATTGTGCCTTTGGGCACAGGGATAGTGTGGAAACCGAGTCAGCCCAAGAGCCGTGGTGTCTCTGAGACACCTCTGGAGTCCCAGTGCTCTCCCTATTCCCATCTTGCTCCCGCAGCACTCATAGACTCTAAGGCCAGAAGGGACCCTCATGATCATCTCGTCTGACCTCCTGCACCTTGCAAGCCACGGAACCTCACCCACCTACTCCTGTGACAGACCCCGACCTCTGGCTGAGTTACTGAAGTCCTCAAACCATGGTTTAAAAACTCCCAGTTACAGAGAATCCACCGTTTACTCTGGGTCTAATTTACTAGCCGTAAATTAACAGCTCCCAGCTCAGCTGCATTGGCCAGAGAGCAGGCACCACCCATTCCCTGCCTCGCCCCCTCCACCTGCTCTGGGGCAGGAGTAAGGGCACACACAGCCCTGCTCGCTCCCGCACGCCCAGCCCTCGGGGCCAGGGCAGGGAGCCTGTGAAGAGGTGAAAGGGGAGCTCCTGCTCCCTGGCATAGGGCTGGAGTCTGTGACACCCCGGCCCTCACGCAGCGCTAGGGTGACCAGATGTCCCTATTTTATAGGGACAGTCCCGATATTTGGGACTTTTTCTTCTATAGGTACCTATTACCCCCCACCCCCGTCCCGATTTTTCACACTTGCTGTCTGGTCATCCCACGCAGCACTGTAAATGGGCCCCACGCTGCAGCGCCCGGCAGAGAGCGGGTCCCTGCTCTGAAGCGCTGGGAGCCAGGAGTCACCGGGGTGGGACAGCAAAGGGGGAGCGAGATCCAGCTCGCATGAGGACAGCCCAGCGGGAACCTGGTGGGAGTGACCTTCGCTTTGCCATGGGAATGAACCTGGGGCACCTCCCCCAGGCAGACACGCCTGCCTCCTCCACCCCACCCCCGGGGGAGCTTTACCCTCAAGGCAGAGCATTGGCTTAATCAAATCTAGCTCCGACAGAGGCCCCAGGGCCCTTCCTTTGGACCGTTCCCAGCCTGTCCTGCAAGGAGACGTTCCTCTGGGTGCAGAACGCCGGTTCCGTCAGAGAGGGGCCCTGTCCCGGACCCCACCACCACCCCCAAGGCCTGGCTCTCCACGCCCTTCGTGCTCCGGGCTCCCAGGGAGTGCCCTGCTCATCTGCCCTTTGCCGTTCATTCCCCTGGGCTCTCCTGCAATTTAAACAAATGCCAGGGGAGAGGACGTGCCACCTGCACCCTCCCAGGCCTGGGGAAATCACTGCGGTTACACAATTGCTAAGCCCCTGCCTAGCCTGGAGGTTATTAATTAACCCCCGGATACTGACTGCAATGCACTGGAGCCTATCCCGGACTGTGGGGGAAGCACTCGGGCTCATGTGCATCTTTGACCCCAGGGTACTGAGAGCAAGACACTTTCCGAGGCATATGCGTGGGACCCCCTAAACCTCACCTGTATCTGAACCCCTCACCGCTCAAATCCATCTCTCTTGGAAACATACAACAAGCTGTCATGGGCAAACATGCACCCCGAGGAAAGGGTGACACATTTTCCTTTCTCCCCTTGACCCAGAGAGGCTGGTAAATTAATCACAGAGACCAGGAAAGAGTGAAATAGACGAGGAGCGATCCAGGCCGCTCGCTGCCTCTGTAGCGTGTTTTGTTTCACACAAGAACGGTCACAGGACAGGAAAGGGGAAAAACGAGATCTCGTCTGAGTCTAATTTCCCCTGACACTGCAGATAATATGCACAATTCAGCTCCTCCTCATCGAGTCGCTGCATTGAATAAAGGGACTAATGAGGCCTAATCGGCTTCCAAATATTTCCTGAGCCGTAACATTCGGAAGTGGGTTCTGAGGGTGGTTGGATTGGGGTTTCGCCTTGGCAGGTCATGAACACGGGAGAGCCAATTGTGAAATACCGACTGTGCTTTCAAACCGCTTCCCACTCAACTCCAGGGCTGCCTGGGAGAGAATGTTGAACGTAGACAGGATTTCGGTTTAGTCTCATCCCGACTAAGCATCTTACTTTAGACAACTCCATGTCTGGAGGCTTCTTCGTGACAAGATGTTTTGCTTTAGAGAGCCAAAGGATGGGATGCGTTTCTGCAGCAGACAGATGACCTGTGCCCCTTTAAGGTTGGAATGTCACCCGGGAGGTAATAAAAAGTGGTGTTTATTAACATCCATCTGGAGCACAATTTGCATGTTGTTCTGGACCTGAACCCCAATTCTTGGCATTCCCCCCAAGTACAGTCATAGGTCGGTTACAGGCTGCATTGACTCCGACAACATGCTTTGGAGTTTCTTTGAAATTACAGGGTGTAGGGGGAAAAAACCCCTCAGCGGTTAAATGAGATTTATGTAATTAGGATTTGCACTGTCTTTCTATAGACTGGGGAATTTCCCACTTGGCTACCAAGGTCTAGACAGATGTCCAATCAATTAGGGAATTAGATGAACATTGATTTTCCTGATCAGTCCTAGTGCCCAGGGAAATCAGATGACGGCTAGGAACCATCTGTCAACCTTGGATGTAACCAAATTTACTTAGCAGATAAGTCCAAAAAAATTCCACTGAGATCTCTAGCACATGAAAGAGCCTCATCTCATGGCTTTGATGTAATTACCATGAAACAGGACGGTTTAGCCAATAGGATCACACTATGCAAATAGTGGAGAGTCAGTTTCATGCTGAGTGGCTGAATCCCCTGCCAAAGCCAGAATTCTAGGACCGGGAAGAAAGAACAATTTGTTATTTACTGCTTGGAAGTGAAATTGAAAAGGCTAAAAAAAGATCCTCTACCTTAACCAGGGCCTGGGGAAGTTCTGCAATATGAGGGTTATGAAAACCTGCTGCAGTTTTGATCTGCATTTGGCTCCGTCCCAAAGCTCTAATCTCAAAGCGCAAAACTCTGTCAAAATCCCCAGGTTTCGTATCAAAACTAGAAGAGCACAAAAATAATGGAGGAAAAAATGTGATATTCGCAATAGCTTTCTATGGACAAAGGCCAGTCGTTTATCCGTGAGTAGATTCGCAAACCCGAGGTATTGTTTTCATTCTGTGACCAACTCTGCTTTTTATTCATTCTACAGGAAACGTCAAACCTGCAGGTTTTGAGGTTTACAAATTCTGCTGTGATTCTCTCACACGGCCCTAGAATCATGAACCATGCAGAACTGACAATGACACAGGGCTTGATTCTGCTCTCACTTATACCTCCATGCAGCTGATGAAGTGGGTTTTAGCCCATGAAAGCTTATGCCCAAATAAATGTGTTAGTCTCTAAGGTGCCACAAGTACTCCTTGTTCTTTTTACTTATACCTATGTAATTCAGGAGTAACTAACCCCGCTGACATCAGAAGAGCTACACTGGTGCTTTATAACACCCCAGCAGCCAGCCCTCGCGTTGCCAAAGGAGAGCGTCACTGAATAGCCTGCAGGGAGAAATTCACAGGGTCCGGATCAGGGACAGGGAATGGGAGCCTTTCCTCTCTAGACGCAGGCCAGCGGCAGAGTGGCCGAGAGCCGTTCCCGTCAGCTTTTGGGTAGGACGAGCTGGGCGGTCTCAGCCCAGTTCGTTTCTGTGCCATCACCACTACAACATGCTCCCCTTGTTGGATGTTGTCACAGGTTCAGGGTAACTGCTCCTGCATTTCCCCTCCGGGATCCCTCGAGGGCACCCACTTAAGGTTTCCGGCTCCCAGTTCTCTGGGCCAAGACCCGCGTCTCTCTCCCACCCGACCAGGTAGCCAAACACTGCAGGAATCTGGAAACGCTACATGGACAGGCAACTTCAGTCAAAAAAGTGAACAGAACGCTGGGAATAATGAAGAACGGTGAGCTGAGAACAAGCCCGTATAATGGATGTGAATCCATAAATCAGTCGCAGGTTTGCTCTGAGTTAGGTCTGGGTCACAAGATGGAACCGCCGTCCTGCACCATGGTCCAAGAGCTTAGTTTGAACCAACAACCTTCAGCACCAAACCACAGACTTGAGCTAGAGGAGTAACTCCATTATCTGGTGCCAGTAGTAAGCGGTTATCCTCTGTGGATGCACAACACCCACGTTGCGAGGGCACCCAGCCCAAGTGTGGCTTTATAACCACTCGCAAAACTGGGTGAGGTCTGCACGTTTACAGGCTCCTGCACACAAATTTCATATGTCTCTCTTTGCAACACCAGATCTCTAAGCAAGGTCAAATGTTACCAAACACCCAGGAGGGGAGAGGAAACTATTTGTATACAAGATTTTAATTTTTGTGGTTTTAAACCTGTTTGTGATTATATTAATGTGTGGTCAGTCAGGTATTTTTAACAAAACAACCCAGCAAGACAGGCTGGTCTCCTGGTTGTGACTGAATCAAAAAGCCAATTGATTCGTGCTCTGCTGATTCCTGTGATCTCACCAGAGACCTCCCTAGGGTGCACATATAGCCCACAGTCACCTGCGCCGCCATCCT